CCAGGGTGGTCCTGGTAGATAGAAAGACAGGCAGTCAGTATGATATTCAAGATGCTATTGACAAGGGCCTTGTTGACAGGAAGTTCTTTGATCAGTACCGATCTGGCAGTCTCAGCCTCACTCAGTTTGCTGATATGATCTCCTTGAAAAATGGTGTTGGCAACAGCATTGGCATGAGTGGTGGTGTCAATGATGATGTTTTTAGCAACTCCCGACATGAGTCGGTAACTAAGATTTCTACCGTATCCAGTGTCAGGAATTTAACCATCAAGAGCAGCTCTCTGTCTGACCCACTGGAAGAATCGAGCCCTATTGCAGCCATCTTCGACACAGAAAATCTGGAGAAAATCTCCATTGCAGAAGGTATCGAGCGGGGCATCGTGGATAGCATCACTGGCCAGAGGCTTCTGGAGGCTCAGGCCTGCACAGGTGGCATCATCCACCCAACCACTGGTCAGAAGCTGTCACTGCAGGATGCCCTCTCCCAGGGTCTGATTGACCAAGAAATGGCCACCAGGCTAAAGCCTTCTCAGAAAGCCTTCATTGGCTTTGAAGGTGTGAAGGGAAAGAAGATGTCGGCAGCAGAGGCAGTGAAAGAAAAATGGCTTCCCTATGAGGCTGGTCAGCGCTTCATGGAGTTCCAGTACCTCACTGGAGGCCTAGTTGACCCAGAAGTGCACGGGAGGATAAGCATGGAAGAAGCCATCAGAAAGGGGTTCATTGATGGCCGAGCAGCTCAGAGGCTACAGGACACCAACAGCTATGCCAAAATTCTGACCTGCCCCAAAACCAAATTAAAAATATCCTATAAGGATGCTATGAATCGCTCCATGGTGGAAGATGTCACTGGCTTGCGCCTTCTGGAGGCCGCCTCTGTCTCCTCGAAGGGCTTGCCCAGCCCTTATAATGTGTCTTCTGCCCCAGGCTCCCGCTCTGGCTCCCGCTCAGGGTCTCGCTCTGGCTCCCGCTCTGGTTCCCGCAGTGGGTCCCGGAGAGGAAGCTTTGATGCAACTGGGAATTCTTCCTACTCTTACTCCTACTCCTTTAGCAGTAGCTCTATTGGGCACTAGTAATGAGTTGGAAATGGTTGCTATACCTTGACTTCATTCATATGAATTTTCACTTTATTAAATAAGAAAACTGGTGCTTGCAGTTTAGTGATAGGATTTTCTGTGCTTAAGGAAACATAGCCTAGGTTGAAATCAAATAGTAAAGGCTGTTCAGGCTTTTTATCTTCTTAGCTCCCTTAACTAATATAATACACTGGATGTAGTGTATATGAAGTGCTAATCAGTTGTAAGGTTAATACAAACTTAGAATTTATTTCTTCTGTGTTTAGATTTTTGATTGATTCTTCTTGAACTTCTTTTGGCCTATAATACAGATTTCTGTTCTTGGAGATGAAAAGTAAATGGATCATTAATATTTTAGTCATTTTGTTTCTTATCTGAATATTTCCATTTTCTGTATCAGGAGATTACCCCCCCCCCGCCACAACCCCCTTCCCCCTCACAACTCCACCCAAACCTAAGCATTTTGTAATGAGTCTACTTCAGTTTTAGAATGTGGATTGTATGACTCCATACACTCTTATGTATCTGTTTGGTTTGGTATTAATTTGATTGTATGTGCATGATAGCAGCAACCTTTGCTTTTCTTTGGTCAAAGTTTTCTGTCTATTTTGCTTGTCATTTTCACTGTACTTTAAAAATCTGTCTATGAAGTTTGCTATTCTGGCAATAAACTTTTGGACTTTTGAATTTTTTGTGTTTTGACTTAATATGTTTATACACACAAGGGCATTTAGCAGCAGCTTTTTGCAAAATACAGATTAAGAGATACCATTTATAAACCACTTTAGTTCTGAATTCTTGTTAGAATTTGGTCTTTGAAGAGAGTTTTTTCAACACTTCTCGAGTGCCTGTTGTGTATCAGAGAGAGTCCTTGGAAATAAGCCTGTGTGGCGGCCAGGGCAGAGGTCAGTACCCACTTTTAATTTATTCTGGACAATGAGTACCAAGTAGCACGGGCAAAAGTCATCATCATAACATTTAAAAAACATAAGGTGGCCAAGATTCTATTTTGAGTATGCTCAAAATGCATGGTATTTCATTTTGTCCCCTAAAAGAATTGTCCTTGAATCAATGAGATAGAAACCTATTCTTTTCATCAAAGAAAAACTTGAAATTCAGACATTTGTCATTAATGTGACTTTACTGAGTACCTATTTTGTGCATACTGTTGAGACAGGTACTATGAGGATTCCATTGAATTTAGAAGGCCCCTGACTTCAGGCCTTCATAGTCTGCATGGGGACAGAAGATAACATGTGAATCAGTCAGTGGGACAACTTGCATATATCAGTAGTATATTTTAATACAATCAAATGAGTCTTATAGTACAGATAGAAAAAAAGGAAAGCAAATACATGCTAATTGTGTAGAACAAAAAAGATCATAATTAACAAATTTATTGGGACTTTTGGTACTTTAGGTGAAAACAACATTCATGTCTTACCTCTTTTCTTGCCCTTTTCCCCCAACTCCCCAATCTGGAAGACTTACCATTAGTTTCATTCACTAAATACTGAGTTCTTTGTGCCACATGTTGTGCCAGAAACTGTAGATCCCGTGGTAGGAATACATTGGCACAAAAAATAGTTCTTGTAATATGAAAGGAAGAAAAACATAGTACGTGATCAATGCTGTTGGGGTAAATAGGGGTTCCTTATGCTAGAGATGGGAGACTGTTAGCTCAGGCTGCCATAAAAAGATAACTAAGGATGGCATAAACGAATTTATTTTCTCATAGTTCTGAAGGTTAGAATTCCAAGACAAATTTGCAGTCCAGGGTTGGTTTCTGGTGACAAGTCTTCCAGGTTTTTAAGCAGTGATGGGTATGGAGGGAGCTCTGGTGTCTTCATTTTATGAGGATACTAGTTCTATCACATTAAGGCCCCATTCATATAACCTCATTTAGCCTTAATTACCTCATTTAAAGACCCTATCCAAATACTGTCATTGGGGGTTAGGGATTAGACATGTATTTCGGGGCGGGGGGCAGGGATGACGCAAGTCAGCCCATTAGGAAGCCTAACCCAGAATGGGGCAGGAGACTGCTCTAGGGAAATGATCAAATAGATTAACAAGCAGCAGTGTAGAGCAGTTCCTAAGGTTGAAACAGCGCACCCACTCCAAGCTGCTGCCAAAGCTGTCATTAAGCTCTGAGATGAGATAGGGCTGTGCCCTGGGAGAGTGGACATTCTTGACCTGCACTAGTTTTGATTTCATTCACATACACAGTGCATCTACTGAAAAGGGAAATATATAACTTTTCAGTGAAAATCATCTCACATCCAAATAGCCTCACATTTTCCAGGCTGCTGGGCTAAACAGTAAAGGTGAATAAAAAGTAAAGATGCTGTGGGCAGAGTGAATAAACTGCTTCTAGAACACATCCCTTACCCCACAGTTGCTCGCAGTTACTGGCTTGTTTCTGCATTTTCTGGTACTGCATTTTTACAGTCATCACCTTTTTTTTTTTTTTTTTGGTGAGAGTATTGTGCTATTTGCCTTTGGAAACAGCTGTTCACAAAAATTTCCTTCACATTCGTTTCCTCATCTGGTGGATGCAAGTACAAAGGAAAGCAAAGATTTGGCATCAGCCTTGACTAAAATAAAAATAATATAAAAGGGATTAGATTCTGGGAGTTAAAGCCATCTGGGGAAACTAACACTTGGGTTAGTGGGTATAAGGAAGTAAGTACTCGGGACTAATTCCCATCAAAGAGACATGGGTTGGTTTAAAGTGGCTCCCACAGGTCAAATTTGAGACAATTTGAGCATCAGTAAGAATTATTATGGTAATAGAGTAGTAACAATGAATTTAAAAAATTATTGTCAATACTTAAAAACCTTGGTTCTATAGTAAAAACAATAAAATGAAGTTATGGTAAGAATGTTTGCTAATAAATGTACAAGCCATTAAATAATGTAAGTGTTAAAGAATCACAGTTCTTAACATAATAACATGCAGTGAAGGATTATGTGATATTCTTGGGTGGGGAACAAGACATTCATATGACCTCAAGATACCCCACAGATTACCAATTACCAAGACACAATGTGCTATTAAAATGGAGAGATATAGCTACCACCTTTACCAAGTAATCAAATTTCATTTTACTAGTAGAGAATCTAAAATATATGTCCCCTATGAGATGTAATAAAGTGGTACACACATCTCCTTGCAAAAACGCTTCAACTGAATCTAACCAGAAAGGAAAAAAATCTGACAAACCCAAAAAGGGACATTCTGCAAGACAAGTGGTTGGGGCTCCTGACAAAATTCAATGACTTAATTTTAACAGGAGAGAAGGGGAGACTGTTGTAGATTAAAGGAGACAGTAAATCAATGATAGCTTATCAGTTGAAAAAATAAGGAATTTGGGGGGCAACTGGGAAAATTTGAATATGAACTATATGTTAGACGATATTTTGAAATGATTTTCTTAGGTTTGATCATTTATTGTGGTTATGTAGGTATATGTCTTCATTCTTAAAAGATTCATACGGACATTTGGGGTGAAGTATCTGCAGCCTATTCAATACTTTCAAATAATTCAGCAAAAATTGTGTGTGGGGCTGTGTAGGTGGATAGAGCGGGAGAAAGCAAACGAACGTGGCCAGATGTTAACAGCTAATGAGCTGAAGGACAGCTACGCGAATGCTTACTGTACAGAATAAATTTATTCTTTAAACTTCTCTTTAGATGTAAACTGCTCTTTTAAAAAGTATGTGGCGGTTGGTAATGCCGGTCACGCAAGGCCAGGAGCAAATGAATCCAGGAGCAGTGGGACTAAAACAGCGATATTTGAAAGAGCTAGGAAAACACCTCTCAAAATGACAGCTGAGGGCCGGTCCCTATAGGCGGTTCTAGTCACGTGTCGGAGTGACCCCGCCCATAACTCCCAGAAGCCCTAGCGGGCCGCCGACAGTTCAGCCGCAGCTTCTTAGCCGATGGGGTGCGGCCATGGACGGCGAGCCTCCACCCGTGGAGGAACGGCGGCGGCTGCAGGAGGAACTGTCCGAGTTCGTGGAGAGCTGCTGTCGGAGGCTGGAGGAGGTGACGACGTCCCTGGGCTGGAGCCTGGATCGGCTGGACCCCGGGAAGGAGGAAGCGGCAGAGGTGAGCGGTGCGGAGTCCCTTTGGGGGCCCTGAGCCTGCGATCTTCTCTGACGGTCGAGGGAGCCACGCTGGGGCCACGAAGGAGAGGACATGGGAGCCCCCGCCTGTGAGCAGAGCCGCGGCGGGCTTCCGGGACAGGCTGGGAGCGCCCCTGACTCCCCGGACCGCGGGCTGGGCGCGCGAGGGCCCCCGGAGCGCTCCTCAACCCCCTCATGTGCGGCGCGCCTCCCCGGCAACTTCGGGTTTAAAGAAAACGTGAAAATGCTCTGGGTGAGGAGGGAATGGCAAATCTGGTGTTCATGTAGAAAATACCTGAGTGGGTCTCAAGGTACTGCTAGCAGAGGAGGTGGTGGTTTGCTTTGTCATCTGTCACATGGATTCCGCTGTGGCGCCGGATTCCGTGTAGGGAGAGCTTGATAGTTCAGCTCACCTTTCTCTGCATAAAATTGTGCACTTCTGACTGGGAGAGCGCCCAATTCTAGATTCTAGAATTATTCAAGTATATCACTAAGAGACGGTGACGCAACTCTTCTGAGAGTTAAATTTTTTTGAAAAAATGTCGGCACGTGTATTAGAGTGACCAATTCTGATTTTTCTTAAAGGTGTGTGAGGAAGGAAAGTGTTCCAATGTGGAACAATTCATGACCTCTAAATTCTTTTTGCTTTACTATGCTGCAATAATTTCTGTCAGGTTTAAATTACATAACTGACTGCCCAGAGGCATTTTACGTATATTTGATTTATATATTGGATTGGCAAAAAAAGTCTGTTTAGGTTCTGTAAAATAAAAGACACATTTTTCATTTTCTCCAATAGCTTTATTGATTTGCCTATTTTGAGTATGTTGGCTACCTCCCGCGCGGTAAAAAGTTGATTGTTCTCAATTAATGGTTAGATTTTATCCGCTATCAACTTGAACTGGTCTACCTGGCCATGGAGCGTCATCCAGCAGGAACCGAGAAATCTCCAGCAGGAAACATCACGAGTCACTTTGGACACGTTCTATCAGTCATGGCACTTTCTTTATAATCTTTTTTTAATGTTTCAGTTGTGTTTTTACCTTCCTTGAAATAATAATGCATAATACACAAAAAATGTTGGGTATTTTCTTCCATTTTCAATATTAAAATGGCTGCACAAAAATTCACCAATTTTTTTAAATGCACACTGGTAAGACAGCTGTCACAATACAATCTAACAAAATTGTTTCGAATGAACTTAAAGGCAACTAAGCACTATTAGAGCCATTGTACAGAAAAACATAAGGGACTTTTTGGCCAACCCAATAAATTTTGGTAGTTTTCACTATATAGTGAAAATTGAAGCCATAAGTTCTTCCAGTAAGTATATATCAAATGGCAGAAGGCTACTGGCTAGACCTACATGAAACACCAGTATTTAAAGGGGGACAGGTAGTGGTATATATACACAATGGAATATTATTCCGCAGTAAAAAAGAAGGAAATCCTCCCATTTGCGACAACATGGATGGACCTTGAGGGAATTATGCTAAGTGAAGTAAGTCAGATGCAGACAAATAGTATATGACTTCACTTATGTAGAATCTTACAAAAAACAAAAAACAAAACGAATAAACAAAACAGAAACAGACTCATAGAACAAGCTAATGGCTGCCATAAATTCAAAAAACAAAAGTATATGTGTATCCCAGGTGTACATGGTCCTTCTGGAAAAAAAAAGTAAAGGGGGATAGGTAGAACAAAGAAGACAGCTTTAGGGGAGACCAGGTAGAAGGAACCAGAGAGGGAGAAGGAACATAAAAAGTCTCAGAATGACAGGAATAGACAATTGGATTGTGACCTTTTGAGCATTCAAATATTTTAAGGACTATGACATGTGCTTTGGCTGTAATAGTAAGAAGATTGTTAGTAACCTACTTACTGGTAGGTGAGGTTGTTGAGGCAGTGACTGTGAACAAATCTTTCAGAGTTGGGCTTTGATGGGGTGGTGGGAAGGGACAGAGGCTATAAGGGGAAGGTTTTTAAAAATTTTATGCACATACGCTCAAACAGGGTATTGGGAGAGGCCTGCAGAAGAGGACATAACTGGACAGTACCACTTAATTAAGTGGTAAACATTTAATGGTATAATTATTTAAATCTTTAAGTATTATATATCTCTTTTCTTTGATTCCGTTTGGTTTTTATAGGATGAAGTTGTGATATGCCCTTATGATTCCAACCATCACATGCCTAAGTCATCTTTAGCAAAGCACATGGTATCGTGTAGGTTGAGGAAACTGGGCTACACGAGAGAAGAAGAGGTACCATATATTTATTATGTATATGTCATGTAATTCATGCATTAATAAATTCACAATATACAGAAGGTATATAGTGAAGTTTTCTGACATAAAATAATAGTCATTTGTAGGGTAGAATGGTACTAGCCTAATTTTGCAAGTTATTGCAAGAGATATTTAAATGATACTAATATACTGCTGATTTATGTCAAATCTTAAAATAAGTTAATCATTTGATCCTTAAGAACACTAAGTTTTGTTTTATTTTTGACTGTTTAGGATGAAATGTATAATTCTGAATTTTTCTATGAGAATGTAAAGATACCTTCAATCACTTTGAGTAAGTATTAACTTAATAGATTATAATTTTAAAATACCTTACTATATATATATATATACACACACACACGCATATCTACGTATTGATAATTCATTTTTGAATTATCAGAATAATGGAATTTGTAAGTATGCTTATGATTAAGGTCATTTTGTACTTTATGAGAATGTAGAATTGATTAATGTGTGGTGAAACTAGTTTTTGTAATCTGAAATTTAGAGACCAGGCTTATATTAATAGTCAGTGAAAACCCTGCAAAGCCTTGTGCATTCAGACAGACACATTTCTTCTTGGTTATAACAAAAATCTGGCCACACACACAGTTTGAAGATAGGACTGAAGATGGAAATGTGTTCCAATAGGGTGAAAACTTGGGCTCTAAAATCAGAAGGCCCTGATTCAGCTTTTGGTTTTGTCACTAACAGATGTGGGACTTTCAGCAAAGTTATTAACCTGTTTGTTGCCTAAATTTCTTTATAAAATTTAGAAAGGAGATGATGGTAATAGCACTTTTGTGAGGATTAAATATGACGTGTGTAATACTCTTAAAATAGTGCCTGACCCTTACCTAGGATTCAAGAAATGCTAAGTATTATTGGTTGCTAAAATTTGTAGCAGCTACTGTTATGTGCCTGATTATAATGTTTTCTGAACCACCTGAACCCTGGTTACTTATTGGGATCTACATAGATCCGAAAGAGTTCTGCATTTATATTACCTAGGTGGTGATTTGGGTATTTTCTCTTAAGATTCTCAAAGATTTGTTGATGTGTCTAAATTGGATTGGAAACCAGTTGATAATCTAATTGTGGACAATGATGATTCATATTTAGTATTTATGGATTTTTTGACAGATAAGGACTCACAATTCCAGATAATTAAACAAGCTAGAACCACAGTTGGAAAAGATGGTGATTCTTATAATCAAAGTAAGTGGCATCATATTTTGAGCTAATTAAACAGTCAAACTATTTTTCTCCCATAAGCACATTAGTAATTTTGAAGAAAAATCTTGTGAAAACAATTAGATGTGAAAGGTTAAGTTTTACATTTAACATTAGACTACTGTGCTTGGTGTCACCTTCATTTGTTAGATATTTTCTGCTCAAATGCACGAGTTTCACTAGGACAGTCTTCAGCTAGGGCTTCATGCTTTGGAATTACCCAAGAGGTGAGATTGCCTTGTAGATAATTTTTAAAATTGTGATTGTTTAGTAAATAAATCCCATTTGGTGCGACTGTTTCTCCCTGAGATTTCCCCTCTCTCTTGAGAATTAACCCATTGTTAAATGTAAGAATATTGAAATGCAGTATAAAAGGAAGACTTAGGCTAAAAGAGATTAGTCTCCACAGCTGCCCCTAAGAATAAAGCACAAACACCAAGTGTTACACACGATTTCAGAGGGTTTGTGGATCCCTTCATGCCCAGCTTTGGAGTTGGGTTAGGAGTTTATGCCTGGGACTGACTTTACAGAGACTAGATTAGAATATTTAAGTGTGAGCTTTTAGGAAATTGAAAGAAAACTTAACCCATCAAAAACATAGAAGTAAACGAGTAAATAGAGTTAATAGAGTTTTGAACCTAGACATAAAATCTAACCTAAGCATGACTGGCGACTTTTATAAGGATCTGAGTATTCTTATGAACCTTCTGAAGGTGGCTTTCCCTGGACATCTTATCTTTTTTTTCCTCACTCTTCTTTCTAACTGAATTATATTCACCAGCCCATTATTATGATTTGTTTTCTCCCTTGTTGAAGGTCAGGGTCTTAACCCATATTTCTAAGCCAATATCTGGGGTTGATTTCTCTCTGAGTTGCACTGTGGCTTTGGAAAGAGGAAGTCCCTTGCCCTTAGTCTACCTTACATTGGTTTCTTACAACAGCCAGATGTACATTTCCTGTTTTGAAGCTCCTATTTTTATGTATTTTTGTGCTAAATTCCAGGTTTTTCTCTTTGAGGGAGACATTTGACTTTTGTTTTATTGAAGAGATAATAAGCTGTGATCAGTCAAGCCTTTTTTGGGCCCCTATTATTGGTTCTACTCATTGCCCCTGTTTAGTTAATCAACCGATTAAAAAACAGACGTTTTTTGTTTGTGTATGTTTGAATGGATTGTTAAAGGACTTTTTTTTACCTTACCTAGTTTGGTAGATATAGTGAATTTATATGAGAGTTTAAAAACTAGATGATCATTTAATCTAGTGTTTGCTTTTTATAGATAAGGGAACAAACTCCATAGAAAAGATAAGGTTCTGGTGTATTTATTCTAGAGGTCCTCAATACTTTTATATTTTAAAAGAGATTTTTTTTCAGAGCTCTGTTGTATGTTTTATTACTCCTTCACAACAAACTTGTGATAGGATGGATGAGTGTTTTCCCTTCCATAGTAGGTGAGACAGTAGAGGGACACCTGAGAGAATTAACACTCCTTTGCTGGATAATAGCAAAGCTGGATCAAGAGCCAAGTTCTGAATTTTGGCACAAACCTTGCATTGAGTTACTCTGCATTCTGTTAGAAATTCTACATTTAGTGATATTTGTGGCTTCTAGATTTGCTTAAATGCATTCATTATTTATTATGTCCATCATGATTAAGTAGAAGAATATCACAAACTTCAAATCTGTACATAGTACTATTAGTACTGTTCATTGTGTATTTTCCTTTGGGTAAGCTTATTTTAAAGAAATAAATAAGCTGCTTGGCCTTGTACAAAGGGCAGCTTTTCTGAGTTTTTGCTCCCTTATCTGTAATATAAAACTACCTCTGGTGTTTTTAGAGCAATAGAGAAAATGAATGCTAAACTGGCCTTAACTAATGATTGGTAGCTGTTATTGTCTAAGCAATTTAATTTCTAAGCAAATTAATGTATAGTCAGCAATATTAAGATAGTGAAATGGGTGAGAATTTATATATATATATATATATGAGTAATTTTCTAGAACATTTTCTAATATTCTGAATTATTTATTTATATAACTGAGTAATAAGGCAGATTCGGACATTGAGTTTAGTTCTTCACCAAAGCAACGAATTACTTTGAATCAATACCTCAAATAATAATTAAGAGGAACTTTGATTTGATGTTGAATTTTTACACTAGCTGAAAGTAAGATTTAATTGTTAGGAATAACCTTTTATATGATCTATAACCCTCTTTTTAAAACCATTTTTCATCTTGTATAGAGTTCTGCAATTTCTCAACAGAGATTATTTTTTGTGTCTTACTTATGTCTTAGACATTTTACCATAATACAAAAGTGATGTATTTATTTTGAAGGAAGATGACTAACATAACAGTTTTACATTTTCCCATAAAATTAACATTTTGTTTGTGATTCATTAAATTATAAGTGTTTTGATTAGGTTATATTTGTTTTCATTTCGTCAGTTTTATTAAGTCTCAATTCATCTATGTGAAAGCTTAAATAACCATTAGATCTATTTATTTTTGGATATAATTACTTTGTTTAATTTTATAACCAAAATATTAATTTCAATCATAAACAATGATTTTATATTTAGTGGTTTATCATTTTTCTTCAGTATTAAAGATTCAAGTTGCTGGACCTCAGTTTCATGACATACAATTGACACTTGAACAAAATGGATTTGAACTGTACAGGCCCACTAATACGTGGATTTTTTTTTCAATAAATACAGTTGGCCCTCTCTATCTGTGGGTTTCACATCCACAGGTTTGGTATCCTAGGAGGATCCTACTTGGATACCAAACCAATATTTTCAATCCACGGTTGGGAATCCAGAGATGTGACGGACCAACTGTCTACATTGTTCTACACCAATTTTTATAAAGCTCTTGAATGTCCACAGATTTTGGTATCCGTGGAGTTTCTTGGCATCAGACCCCCTCAGATACTGAGGGCTGACTCTAGTTAAGTTTTTAAGGAGTTAAGTTATCTGAGGATTTTCGACTGCATGGGGAAAAGGGGGGTTAGTACCCCTAACTACTGCTTTGTTCAAGAGTCACCTGTATTTGAGTCATGGCCGTGATTTGAAGATCAGTGTACTATGGCTAAAGAACCCTAAAGGGACAGCATTATAGTGAGTCTAGAGCTGATCTGTTCTTACCGCTTGTGAGACTTTGGCAAGTCATTTTGCTTCTGTGGGCTGTAATTTCTTTATCTCCAATGTTAAGAAATTGACTCTGTATGAATTCTCCCTAAAATTCTAAACTTGTATCTTGGAAACAATACCTCTTGTTAATATTTAATACTGTATCTCATATGTTTAAGATGCCCTATGATGGCAAAAGTGACTAATAAGGAAGAATTGAGAATTAGAGTTGTTAAAAAGTTTCAATTTGGGGTGATGAAAAGTTATGGAGACAGAAAGAAGTGATAGTTGCACAACGTGAATACACCAATGTCAATGAAGTATACACTTAAAAATGGATAAAATAGTAAATTTTATGTGTATTTTACCAAAATTTTTTTAAAAAAACTACTGTCCGAAAGAGTAGCTAGAATGGTGCAGAATTTGTATGATGACAGCACGTGGAGATGTACCCCTAAATCATAGAAACTTATGTTTGAAAATTTACATTTTATGGAAATGTAAGCTTATGTAAGTGTGTTTACCCATTTTTTTGTCAGAAATATCTATGTTCTGAACAATTCAAATGCAGTTTGTTGTTTAACTTTTCCTGTACTTTTTCTTTTTCAGTAATTGGGGTGAGTATAAAGAGGAATTAGGAACCTGAATGTACTCCTTATTTAAAGATATGCAGTATCCTTTTGCAAATGATATCCTTTTAAAAGTATCATTCAAATTTCTAAACTTTATCTTAGTCACTGTCACAATATTATAGTCTTGATTTGGAATTTTAGTTGAATTTTAAGGAATTTAAGTATCAGTCTTCACCATAGAGAAAGTTAAGATGAGCAATGAAAAACCCCGGTATATTTCAAGGAGGAAATTATATTTCTTTGTTTGAAATTAACAAGCAAAGGTTTATGTGGAGCTTGTTTAGAATACAGTCATGCACTGCATAATGACGTTTTGGTGTACAACAAGCTGCATACAACAGTGATCTATAAGATTATAATGGATTTTAAGTGGGTTTGTTTGCGACATTGAAAGAAAAGGCTGGACCCGACTAAGATGTTGAATTTACTGCTAGCTCTGGATGCTTTAAATAGAAGGGAGCCTCAGTATATTGTCTACCTGCCTGCCCTGCACCCTGCCCCTGGCTGGAGTCTACAGTTATTGACAGAGTGAAGGGAGCCTGCTGAGGAGGAGGGGAGCCCAGGGGTTCCCTGGTCCACCTCACATCCATCCCTACGCACACACTCCAGCACACAAACTCATTTCCCTTTATCCCTTTCTCTTTTATCTCTCTTTCCTCCCAGGGCCATTTAAAAAACCAACCCCCTCACTCTTCGACCCCTTCTCTCTCTCCCTTCCTCTCTCCTCCCCCTTTTATTCTCATCTCAAGCTTTCTCTGTGTCTTTTTAGATCTCTACTTCTGCTTCCCTTTCTCTCCCTTTCCCTTTCTTCTATTTCTCCCTTCTTTCCTCCCTCTTCCTGATGTCTACATCCTCTCCCATGGTGCCTCCCTACACGGCCCTCTCTCCATGCCTCCTTAAGCCACACGCCCACACATAACATTTTACCATTTATACAGTATTTTAACTCCACCTTTTTTAGGTTTAGCTATGTTTAGATACATAAATACTTACCATTGAGTTACAATTGCCTGCAGTATTGTACAATAATAACATGCTGTACAGGCCAATAGCCTAGGAGCAATAGGGTGTATTATATAGCCTAGGTATGTAGTAGGCTATACACCCTAGGTTTGTGTAGGTGCACTCTTACGATAGTCTTACAATGATGAAATTGCCTAATGAGGCATTTGTCAGAACATATCTCCATCATTAAGTGGTGCATGACTGTACATCTAGGTTTTCTAATCTTTTCTCATTTTTCTCCCAAACTTTTATAACCTATATTCAAAAATATTAGGTTTATCAAGGCTAACTCATTTTTATATAATATAATGAAATGTTTTAACATCTGGCTGCACAAAAGGGCTTTTCCTAGTGTCTATCAGAAGTACAGTAAAATTAATTGACTTGAAAGGGAACTCTTCTTCCCCAAATTCAAAATCCTCTGACTAGTACAAATTGCCATGTATTGTTATCTATAGCTGTTAAACACAGACTCAGATTCAGTGTAGCTATCCTCTTAATTTGTAGACAAATATAAAGTAATCTTGTGTGTGTGTTGTAATGCTTGGTTCATAGTATGCTTTGACTTGATTTTTTTTTTTTTCCATCTTAGGAAGCCAACAAGATTAAGCTTTATCAAATATAAGTATCTAAAAAAAGCTACTGATTTTACATTGTTCTATGAGCCAGAGTTAGGTTACTGTGGGGCAATCTAGCAAATATTTTTACATTGTTCTATTAGCCAGAGTTATTACTGTAGGGTAACCTAGCAAATATTAAAAGGATTTATTTAGTAGCTCATATTCTTAGCATTGGTGAACACCAAGTTCTGGGACTATCGTTTTAAATTGTTTTATTTACAGTTACAATAATTTTTTTTATTTCTTTGAGAACATTTGAATCTCAAAAATTTTCTTCAATGTTTAATACATCATATCAAGGTATTGTATTTACTTTTTTTCATTAATGAGCAGATTTTAGAAAATTCTGTAACTATTGTGGGGGCACTGCTGTTAACCTTTCATCTTCAGAAAATCAAAACAAGTTTAGGCTCAATTTAGTCTTTCTTTCTCTGGTCTAAAGAAGTGTGGGATTTCTGCTACTTAATTGTTTTTTGGTCCCTAGCTCTGAGTCATTGCACAAATGGGATGTATTTTGAATATGGAACAACTAGCTTGATGTTTCACATAAAAAAGATGTTTCTTTACTGTGTTTTTCATATTTCCATAGTTTATTTTCAAAAGAACTATAATGTTTGTTACCTATTAAAGTTTCCCCGTCAGCTTTTATGGGGGGAAAAGACATATAAACAGAAATGAAGTTAATATCTACTTTTATAATGTGGCTAGCCTTTTAAAAATTGTTACCCAAAAAATTTTCTTACGAGTAAATTGTCTTATGGTAATTGTTTCCTGCCTTCACAAGATCTGTCTTAACATTGTTGGAGAGAATAGCACATATCCACAATATATCCTTTATGTGGATGTAGCATTCATGATAGAGTCATTGTTTATCATTTACCACACACATTGTTATTTTGTAATTTAGGGATTACTATGAAAAAAATTGTGTTAACACTGCATTATTATAGCGCATGTTTCAAGATTAGTAGTACATTTTAAGTCTACATTACTTCATGTATTGTTTATTCTTGTGGTTTTATTTTTACTTTAGGGATTTATTCTACATTACCTGTTGAAGTTCCTCTGAATCACAAACGGTTTGTTTGTGATCTGACCCAAGCTGATCGTCTTGCCCTCTATGATTTTGTAATTGAGGAGACAAAGAAACAGCGCTCTGATTCTCAAATTATCGAAAATGACAGTGATCTCTTTGTAGACTTGGCTGCAAAAGTCAATCAAGGTTTGAGATGAATACCATGGTTTTATATTTCTTAACTGTCATTCCATTCTTTCAGTATTAAGATGATTGTTCAGGCCACTTTGAGTAGGACTAGGATGGTTTTGTATTATTTGATATTCACATGAAAAAATGTTTATTCAGTACATGAAATTTTGCTCTCTGATTTTTATATTAAGCATCACTTCCTTCTGTAGGAATCTCACTTACAGCTGTGGTGTTGCTTTCTTTAATCTATGTACCTAAACAGTTATGTTTAATGGCTAGAAAAAAATGAATGGTATGAAAGTTAAGCTCACTTATATAATGTAGAATTTTTAGAGTATTTTTGTGTCCTACATTGAAACATGTTGAAATATGATTGCAGTGTTCCTTCCTGCTAATTTATAAAAATTTAAAAGTTTCTAAGGATATAATAATTTTGCTTTATTCTTTTATTAGATAATAGTCGAAAAAGTCCAAAATCTTATCTTGAAATCCTGGCAGAAGTGAGGGATTATAAAAGAAGACGCCAGTCCTATAGAGCCAAGAATGTTCACATAACCAAGAAGTCATATACTGAGGTAAGCTTTACATAATCTTGTAGAGATTTGTTGAGAACAGACATTTCTCTTAGGTAGTTTTCTAAGTCTGTTCTGTGGATTTCCACAGTTCCTTAGATATTTTCTGAAAAGAAGTGTCTTCAAGCTGGCCACACCTACTTTGCATTTGTTCCATCACTTTCAGACCCGCCCTCTAACCAAAGTTTTTTTAAGGTACAAAAACTTTATATAAATACCTACTTTTGAGAAAGTAGTAAGAGGATTTTGGCTTTCAGCAGACCTGGGCTTAAGTTTTGATTCTGCTGTTTATCATTGGCTGTTTGACTTAGGCAAGCTATTTGAGCTTTTTAAGAATTATTTTTTAGTCCTAGCTGGTGTGGCTCACTTGGTTGGAGCATTGTCCAGTGACCCAAAAGTTTGCGGTTCGATTCATGGTCAGGGCACATGCCTGGGTTGTGGGCCCAGTCCCCAGCTGGGGCACACATTAGAGGGAACCAATAGATGTTTCTCTCTCACATAGATATTTCTCTCCCACTCTGTCTTCCTCCCTTCCCCTCTTTCTAAAAGCAGTAGCCATGTCCTCAGGTGAGGATTTAAAAAAAAGGAATCTTTTTTTTTTTCATTTTATCACAATATAGGAATTGATTGAGATTATAAATGTGGATACAAATTGCTCAATAAATCGCTTTTTTTTTTTGCAGAAATTTTAGTATGCTTTTATGTACTCTAGTAAATATTTGGGCGTAAGAAATGAATGTCTTGGTTTAAATTATTTATAATTTATATAATTTAATAATGTGTATTTTAAAATTTTATAATTAGTTACAGTAATCTCTTGTATATCTAGATTTATTTTCAGATGTCATTTATTGGATAGTTAGAGTTGATGAATTTTTTGGTACATGAATTACCGTGCCCAGATGCTAAATAATTTCCTCATTGAATCCCTAATTGTTTCCACATTATTTCTTGCTTCTCTCCATGATTTCAAAGATTTTCCACCATCTGGCCTCACTCTACCAAGCATTTTTTTTTTTTGCTTTAGTCAAGCATGTCTCTTAAACTGTGTCTGATTACACAGCTTTAGTCTCACCTACATGTCCTAATACATGTTGTTTTCTCATCAGAAATGTTCCTTGTTTTGCTGTTCAAATCTTTCTTTCTATTATGTAAGTCCCAGGTGTACAACTATACTTTGACCATCTATAGACACTACAAGTGATCACCGCCAAAAGCCCAGCTCCTATCATCACCATACAATTGACCCCTTTCCACCTTTCACTCACTGCCCAACCCCCTTCCCCTCAGCAACCACCAGTCTGTTCTCTGTAACAATGAATTTGTTTTTGTTTTTTGTTTATTTGTTGTTGGTTTTTAAAAGGTTTCACTTATGCGTGAAACCATATGGTATTTGTCTTTCTCTTCCTGACTTATTTCACTTATACCCCCAACGTCCATTCATAATGTCACAAATGGCAAGGTCTCATTTCTTTTTATGGCTCAGTAGGATTGTGCATTTGTGACATCTTTATTCATTCATCCATTCGTGGACACTTGGTTGTTTCTATATCTTGGCTATACTGCAATGAGCATAGTAGTGCACATTTCTTTTCAAATTAGTGTTTTCATATTCTTAGGATAAATACTCAGAAGTAGAATAGGTGGGTAATATGATAGTTCTATTCTTAATTTTTTGAGGACTCTCCATGCTGTTGTCCATAGTGGCTACACCAGTTTATAGTCTCACCAACAGCATGTGAGGTTTAACCTTTTTTCCACATCCTCTCTAGCACTTGTTATTTCTTGCCTTTTTGATAGTAGTCATTCTGATAGGTGTGAAGTGATATCTCATTGTAGTTTTGATTTGTATCTCCCTAGTAATTAGTGATGTTGAACATGTTCCCCTGTACCTGTTGGCCATCTATATGTCTTTGGTAAAATGTCCAGACTTTCTGCCCATTTTTTAATTGGGTGGTTTGTTTTCTGTTGTTGAGTTGTGTGCGTTTTTAGTATATTTTGGATATTAACCTCTTATCAGATATAGGATTTGCAAATATTTTCTCCTATTCAGTAAATTGCCTTTTCTTTTTAATGTTGGTTTCCTTCACTGTGCAAAACTTTTTAGTTTGATGTAGTCCCATTGGTTTATTTTTTGCTTTTGTTTCCCTTGCCTTTGGAGTGAGAGTCACAAAAGTGTGTTTGGAAGGGTTCTTTTCTTTTTAGTTTTTTAGAAGAGTTTGAGAGGGATAGGTATTAAATCTTGAACATTTGGAAGTATTCATCAGTGAAGCCATGTGGTCCTGGACTTTGATTTGTTGGGAGGTTTTGGTTATTGATTCAATCTCTTTACTAGTAATTGGTCTATTCCTTGACATTTGTAAGACCAGTATTAAGAAACTTACCGCATGTGTTTTCTTCTAGGAATTCTATGGTTACAGGTCTTACATTCAAATTAAATCCATTTAGAGTTAAATTTTTGTGCATGGTATAAAATAGTTGTCTAGTTTCATTATTTTGCAAGTGGCTATCCAATTTTCAAAACACCATTTATTAAAGAGACTGTTCATTCTTTATTCTATTTTCTTGGCTCCTTTGTCATAAATTAATTGTGTATATGTGTGCGTATGTACACACACACACACACACACATCTACGAATTTATTTCTGGGCTTTCAGTTCTCATTGGTCTGTGTGTCTATGTGCCAATACCATATACTGTTTCGATACTACAGTTTTGTAGTATCGTTTGAAATCAGGGAGCATGATACCTCCAGGTTTGTTCTAATTTCACAAGATTGCTTTGGTTATTCAGGGCCTTTTGTGCTTCATACACATTTTAAAATTATTTGTCCTAGTTCTGTGAAATAGGCCATTGGAATTTTGATAGGGATTCTATTGAATCTGCAGATTGCTTTGGGTAGTATTGACATTTTAATGATACTAGTTTTTCAAATCCATTTATTTGTGTCTTCATATTCTTTCACCAGTGTCTATTATTTTCATTGTACAGGTCTTTCACCTCCTTGATTAAATTTATTCCTAGGTATTTTCTTTTTGATGAAGTTGTAAAGTGAATTGTTTTCTTAATTTATCTTTCTGATAGTTTGTTATCAGTGTATAGAAATGCTACAGATTCTGTATGTTGATTTTATATTCTGCACTTTTACTGAATTCAGTTACTAGTTATAACAGTTTTTTTGGTGGAGTCTTTAAGGTTTTTTATATGTAGTATTATGTCATGTACAAATACAGTTTTACTTCTTCCTTTCTGATTTGTGTGCCTTTTATTTCTTTTTCTTGTCTAATTACTGGGGCTAGGACTTCCTATATACTATGTTAAATAAAAACGGTGAAAGTGGTCATCATTGTCTTGTCCCAGTCTTAGAGGAAAAATTTTCACCTTATCACCATTGAGTATATTAGCTGTTTGTCATATGTAAGCTTTATTAGGTTGAGATACTTTTCCTATGTATTCACTTTGTCAAGAGTTTTTATCATAAATGGATGTTAATTTGTCAAGTGCTCTTTCTGCATCTATTGAGATGATTATATGATTTTTATTCTTCATTTTGTTAACGTGGTGCGTCATGTTGATTGATTTATGGATGTTGAACCATCCTTACATACCAGGAGTAAGTCCCACTTTACTGTGGTGTGGGATCTTTTAATTTATTGTTGAATTCAGTTTGCTAATATTTTCTTGAGGATTTTGCGTCTATGTTCATCAAGGATGTTGGCCTGTACCTTTCTTTTTTTGTGGTGTCCTCATCTGGTTTTGGTATAGATAATGCTAGCCTTGTAAAATGTGTTCAGAAGGGTTCCTTTCTTTTCAGTTTTTCAGAAGAATTTAGAGGAATAGATATTAAATCTTGAACATTTGGAAGAATGCATCAGTGAAACCATGTGGTCCTGGACTTCTATTTGTTGAGAGGTTTTGGTTATTGATTCAATCTCTTTACTAGTAATTGGTCTATTCAGATTTTCTTTTTCTTCGTGATTCAGTCTTGGAAGAGTGTATGTTTCTAGGAAGTTATCCATTTATTCTAGCTCGCGGATTTTTTTCGTATATAATAGTTCATAGTAGTCTCTTATCCTTTGCATTTCTGTGGTATCAGTTATAACAACTTCTCCTACATTTTCAATTTATTTGAGCTTTTCTTTTTTTCTTGGTCAGTCTAGCTAAGGTTTTATTCATTTTATTTATTTCTTCAGATAACCAAATCTTAGTGTCTTTGATTTTTTTCTTCTTTTTTTTCTTGTCTCTATTATATTTGTTTTCCCTCTGATCTTTATTATTTCCATAGTCCTATTAACTTTGGGTTCCTTTTATCATCTTTTAGTTTCTTTAGGTGTAAAGTTAGATAGTTTATTTGGCATTTTTCTGTTTCTTGAGTTAGGCCTGTATTATGAACTTCCTCTTAGAACTGCTTTTGTTCTGTTTCTCATATTTTGATATGTCATATTTCTGTTTTCATTTGTCTCCAGGTATTTTTTAATTTCATCTTTGATTTGTTTGATGTTTCACTGGTTGTTTCTTAGCATGCTATTTTTGATATCCAGGTTTTTGTGGTTTTTTCCATTATCTTCTTGTAATTGATTTATGAGTTTCATACCATTGTGGTCAGAAATGATGCTTGATATGATATCAGTCTTGAATTTACTGAGACTTTTTGGGGGCCTAACCTGATTTATCCTGGAGAATATGTACACTTGAGAAGAATGTAATCTGCTGCTTTTGGATGGAATATTCTGAATATATCGGTTATGTCCATCTCGTCTAATGTGTCATTTATGGCTAATGTTTCCTTATTGATTTTTTTGTCTAGACAGATGACCTATCCATTACTCTAAGCAGGGTGTTAAGGTCCCCTACTATTATTGTATTGCTTTTGATTTCTTCCTTCAGGTCCGTTAATGTTTGCATTTATATCTCAGTTCTCCTGTACTGGGTGCGTATGTATTTTTCAATGTTATATCCTCATGCTGGATTGACTTCTTTACCCTTAAATAGTGCTCTTCTT